TTATAGTCATCAAATAACATGATTAGCTATTAATGGTAAAAATTAAGTGGTTACGTAATCTTTTGGATTTTAATTTTCAGGTTCTTAACCTAAAGGAACAACTCTACGAAGCTGAAAGAGAGATCCAACGATTGGCACAAAGAGTCGAAGGAGCTTCAAGCAACAGTCCAATCTCATCCTCTGTCTCCGTCGAAGCTAATCATACGACACCGTTTTTTGGAGATTACCAAATCGGACAAGACGGTGATTGTTACGAGAATTTGTTCTACTCACCGGATTACATTGGTGGATTAGAGTGGATGGACCACTTTACTAGTTAAGTTTATTAGATTTGATATCAAATTTAGGGGTTATTTGTGATAACTAGATTATTTATATGATTGGTGGTGCTATATATCTATAACGAAGCAGGATGTAGATAAAATGTGGGTCTAATTCGCTATTGTAATATTTTGGATATATTCCTCTAAGCATCGATTGCTTAGTTAGTTAGGTCGAAAGGTGTTTTACTTTGTTTGACTTAGAGGTCAAGTTTGGACAAAAATGTATTAATTTGTTAATTATAAGTTAAAAATGTGAAATGTCTTATGCATAAGATTATTTAGCATTCATAGCTGGTTCTCGGCATATTTAATCCTTAGAAAAATACATAATCAAATTAATATTTGAGAAATTTTAAGAAGTGTCACTTTTCAAAAATGCCACATTTTCAAAATCTTTGCAAAAATGCCACTTTTTCAAAATTATTTTTTCATTATATCATTGATATTTGGGTTAACTATGTTGTATTAGGGTTTAGTTTTGAGAGCTTAAGGGGTTTTAAAGGTCAAAACATTTTTTAGGGTTTATAATTTTAAGGTTTAGGTTTTAAAAATTTATATTTAATGACATTTTTGCAAATGGACACCCCTAAGTGGCATTATTGCAAATATACACACTAAAAATGGCATTTTTGCAATTGCCCCATTATATTTTAATATAGGAGCAAACTATATACATTAGATGAAACAAATCATTATTTAAAAAAACAAATCATGCATAAAGACATACAAACTAAACCATAATATATATTTTAAAAATCAACAAAAAAACTAGTCTCTCCGTTTCAAAAATATAAATTTTTTTGGTTAAAAGTGCAAATATTAAAAAAATATTTTTCTTCTGAAAAGTATCACCTTATATATATAATAAAAATAATTTAACCAATGAAAAAAAACAACAGCAAACACAATAGTTAATAAAATTAAAAAGTATCTAGGATTATCAAAACAATTTATATTTTCAAACATAAAAAAACTTCTAAAACAATTTATATTTTGAAATGGAGAGAGTATTTAAAAAAAAAAAACCAACAGACAACAAGTCTACAAGCATTAAAAACCGTGTAAACACATATTTGACGATGGAGATAATGACAATTCTAAGAAAATAATTTGTTGCTTATCATACTTTTATTTTGTAAAAATAGTAGAGACTAGTGATATAAATTTAGCTAAGGAGTAAAGATTGCGTTTTTTTGTTAATCCACTGAGACGTCTTTTCTTTTACATTTCTTTGCAAATTTATATTTACGTGTTATACGTGATAGTGTGATACGTATGCGAAATTGTACGTTTATAATCATTGAACTATAACGGACCATTGGAATCTATAGGGTGGTGGAAACTAAAGCATGTCTTATATATATGGTCAGATTGCTACGTACGTGTTTCTATATGGACTATGGACATATATATTTATAAAATAAAGTAAATAATATGATATGAACTATTCTTTTTGTTTTTGTTTTTTGACACCATATGAACTATTTAAGAACTTTTTATCATCATCTAACACATTTAGTGGTATGGTATAGAAACTACGGCTAAAGACTAAAGGTATTGCACATGATATACAAATACAAACAAAACGACGATAAATTTTTAAATGTCGGAGGATAAGATTTTGCCAAAAATTTGCCAAAAGTTTGCCAACATTTTTAAAAGAAATTCGGATAAGATGTAGCTAAATTAAGGTAACAAAATATATGTGGGTTCACCTCATGTGACCAAAATTGGAGAGCTTATGACTATAGTATAGTCCAATATTTGACTCTAGAAAATATCTAGCTTTATATTATCTTACCATTATAGAATTATTATTTGAATCAGAAAGATTCATATAATTATAAGAATGAAAGAAAGATCAACATTATAAACTTTTATTATTACTACTGACTTTTTTCTTTTGATACATTATAAATTTATAATAGCTAAAACTCTAACCTTAAGAAACAATAACTTTGTGGGGAAGAATTTGAAGGCTTAATGGTCCCGTATCTCTTTATCAAATCCAGATTTTGAACCTATTTGTTGTCTCTCAAGTGTGAGAGTTAAATGGTCACATAAAGTTCAGATTCTGTCAAATCATGAAGAAACTGACAAATACATGTGTGTATATATAGAGAGAGATATGTCATGTATACGTTTATGTGTCCATGAATTGCAGTTGATTCCTAACAAAAGTTGAATCGAGAAGTGATAAAAAGAACGCAATAGGTGTAATTTTAGGAAATAAGGATTGAATTGAAGTTTAAAGAAGCAAAACAGTGTTTTTAATACTTTTCAGACAAAAAAAAAAAATACTTTTCAAGTTATAGTCAGATTCATTATATGAGATATCGATGGATTGATGTTTTAAAAAGTCGGTCATCTTTTTCT